AAATCCCCCAATTTGTTTCTATCTCGTGTTTCATATTTTAGAAAGTATGAATAAGTTTTGTTATTTCGTATTTTCTTTGTTATAGTGAAGCAGTTTCTGTAATGCTTACAATTAGATAAAATAATAAACAATAATTTTTGTAATAAAAATTTTAATTTTAATATCATTTGACACTCTATCTAGTATATTCCCTTAAAGGTCTTAACTTAAAAATAGAATTCATAAAAGGTTTATTCTACAAAATGTGTGCAGGAAGTTCAACTTAAAATGGCATAAATCCGAAATTTTAAATGAAAACAGATGTTGTAAAATGTATGGAGATAGTCTAACTACCTAAGAGAGATATGAAATATAACGAACCCTTGAACCATGATGTTTAGTAGAAAACAGTTTTTTCAGAATAGGAGAATGGCATTTGAAAAATATTTTTTTTTACAACTTCTTAAAATTTAAAAATCTAATGATAACCAGAATCAGGTTTTTATGTTTCATTTTTTTCTTTGAATCAAGTCTTTAAAAGGAACGTAGAAGTTCATTTAATTGATCCTCGGTTTATAGACTGACATTTCCAGTTTAAAAACATTGATTATTTTCAATTGCGGTTTCTCCGTATAAGAGATTAAGCAGATTTCTGAAACAAAAAACAATGGAGGAAAATGTCAGAGTTACACCTTTTTTAGCCTAAAAAAACGAAGATATTCACAGACTGGTCGGATTAAGGTTTAAAGGGTACCGTGTACCGTAAAATGCTGCTCTAAAAGGGAGGCTCACTTGAAATTATATCGACTGTTCCTTTAAGTTAGAATCCCAAATCCCTATTACTATCTATACCTTCTAAATGTGATTTCTCTGAACAAATATTCTCTGCATATCACCCCCCCTCCCCCCTCCCCCTCCTATTGCAGGGTGATGTTACCCGGTGTTTAGAGGGAGGGGAGAAGAGGAAAGGAGATGCAAGGGATTAGCCTATGAGATAAACATACTCAAGTGGTTGATTATGCATAACCCAGGTTAATACCTAGTTTCAACCCACCTTATATATGCTTATTAATGATAAGCATACATTTAACCCCCATCCCCCCTCTCCACCCTCAATTTCTCCCCTTTTCGCCATCCCCCCTCTTATGTCGAAATTTCTCAATGGTTTCGCCTTAATATCTACAATTACATTCCAAAGTAACATTCTTCAATTTAAATAAAAGGTTGCTTCATTTTTGAAACAATTTAATAAACCGACACCGTCATTGTATTTTTTTTAGTGGAGGTAGCGCGATCATTAGTAAAATATTGATAAGAGAGATCCTGCGGGGGACACATGGAAGGCTCCAATTCGTAGATTTTAGGAAATCACAAAACAAATTATATAAAAAGATTTAAATAAACAACCAGAATAAAATAAAATTTTCTTTTAATATTTTCAACATTTTCATATTTTCAACATCTTCATATTTTCAACATCTTCATATTTTCAACATCTTCATATTTTCAACATCTTCATATTTTCAACATCTTCATATTTTCAACATCTTTATATTTTCAACATTTTCATCTTTGCATTGAAAGATATCTGTGTCCATTGTCATCTTTGAATTGAATTTAATAACCATAATTGGTAATTTAACATTCTAATTGTATGAATTTTTTCAACCCAATATTGATTGTATTGTACGTATTATTAATATATTTAATCACTTCTTGTGAAGTATGTCAATAGAAACGAGACTTTTCGATAAAAACGAGACTTTTGGATAAAAACGAGGCTTTTAATAAGATAACCAATCTAAAAAGTAACTTATTACCCATTTTTTTCGGGGACACACTGAATTTTAGTTGTGAGTTTATAACATGAACATATTGTAACTCGATTTCTACTTTTAAGGATATACATTAAACAATGTATGTACTTACACATGATTAAATGAATATATCTATATCTGTATGGTTGTTTTTTGTTTTTTTGTAGATGCTGATTTATTTTAATTAGTCTTTTCATGCCTAGTACAGTTTTCATTTAAAACTGAAAGATAAAATGTATCTTTGAAAAATTTTATTACAGTTTTAAATATTGCTTAGGCAAAACGAACGTACAATTTTAACTCAAGAATTCATAACTCCAAATTAGATTAATAGCTGAATGAATGCAGACAGAAGATTGCGTGGAATGTCCGTTTCTTTGACCTTGAAAATGAGAATTATCTAGTATTTGCAGTATTTTCAGAAACTTGCAAGAAAACTAGAGCTCACGACTAAATTCTCAAAATAAAAAGGAAACCGAGAAGAGATATTTGTAACTAAATTCCGAGGAATTATGTTTTGTGTACTATTAGGGGTGTATCTTTTCGGGAAAAATCCCCCCCTTCGTCTCCTCTCATTTGTCTAGTCAAATATAATATTATTAGGGCCTTTTCTACTGAACTGAAAAATTTCAGAAAATGAAATTGAAAAAAATTTATTTAAAAAAGAGAAAGCTTGCTGCAAACTTTTTATCAACTCTCCTTGTCTATCCGATTTCTCATTCGTCAAAATACATTGGTTTTGACCAACGAATTAAGCTCTTTTTGTTCACTTAAAAGTTCTAAGGAAAGAATAAACAAATGCATTTAAACCAATATTTAAATTGTAATATAGACCTGGAATTGTTTAAATAAAAGTGTACGTGTATTTTCTCCTTGCACGTACTTACAGCCCTGCAGGAAAGGAATTGAGTTTTTGCCACAAACTCAACTTTTCTAATCCCTATATCATTGCAACTTGATGGTGTAAACTTCTCATATTTCAAACTTAGATTTTTAATCCAACAGTATTCATAGTTTGAAATATCTACGGTCTACGACATAGAGTAGGAAAGAAGGAACAATAACCAACCATAGTCTAAAATTTAAAATTCTCAGTATTTTTCTAATATTCAAAAGCACTGAAAACGTTAATATAGTTTCTATTAAACGTAAACCATAAACAGAATTTAAACATTGAATCTCGGTATTTAAAAGTTGAGGTTGTGGAAAAAATATACACTTTAGTGTTAGTGGATAACTCTATAATTCTTTACAGTAAAACCCCCCCCCCCCCCATCGTGTTTGTCTGGCCTTGTGCTAAGCCTACTCAATTTGGCAAAATAAACTGATTCTGTGGATTAAAAAAACCTGTCTATTTATTAGAACACTTTCACCACAACTTGGTTGAATGATCAGGCATAGAAATATTATAAGTTACACATTACCACAGTTCTTTCACGTCAAACTAAAGTAAATTATCAGTTACATTACCACAGTCCTTTCACGTCAAACTAAAGTAAATTATCGGTTACATTACCACAGTACTTTCACGTCAAACTAAAGTAAATTATCAGTTACATTACCACAGTACTTTCACGTCAAACTAAAGTAAATTATCGGTTACATTACCACAGTACTTTCACGTCAAACTAAAGTAAATTATCAGTTACATTACCACAGTACTTTCACGTCAAACTAAAGTAAATTATCGGTTACATTACCACAGTACTTTCACGTCAAACTAAAGTAAATTATCAGTTACATTACCACAGTACTTTCACGTCAAACTAAAGTAAATTATCGGTTACATTACCACAGTTCTTTCACGTCAAACTAAAGTAAATTGCACGTATATGATTATAATCTTATATGCTTTAAATTATAACTCCACTTATTGAGGAGCTATCTAAAACATGCTTTGAATTGGTTATATTATCATATAATATATATATATAACCAAATAAATATTACCTTCTTTATCTGTTTAGGTTGAAATGTGTTTACTCTGCTTTATTCCGAATTTGAACAATTAACGAAATTATAACGACGTAAGAACAAAACTAAGAACTAACTCATTCGTGTGCTTTATCTACTACTTATAGCGCCCAAAGACTCTTTAATTAATCATAATAATAATAATAATATAAGAATATTTTTTGAAAATTTGAAATTTTTTTAGTACTTCAATAACTCAAAAAAAATCCGCGAACCTTTTTTTTTCTCTCAAAATCAAAAGTTTAGAAAAGCAAAAATATATATATAAATTATTTCTATCAAATTCTTAAATCTTTTAAAGATTGAATCTCAGAATCACAGAAAACTTGCAAACTTGTAATAAGAAAATATGCAATTTTTAGTTCTGGTCTAATTTTTGAGAAAAAGTTATTTAAATTATTCTTAAGTATTACAAATACGATGTTCATTTGAAACCTGAAGAACCATTGAAAAATAATTTTTCTGAAAAAAATATACCAGAACTGAAAATTGCGAATTTTCTTTTTACAATTTTGCATATTTTCTAAGAATATGTGATTCAATCTTTTTAAAATTTTAGATTTCGATAGAAACAATTTATTTACACATTTTTTTTCTGAACTTTTGATTTTGAGAGTAAAAAAAGGTTCGCGGATTTTTTTTGAGTAATTGCAAAGTACCAAAAAAATTTCAAATTTTCAAAAAATATTGAAAAACATCATACAGGAGAATTGCACAAAAAAGGTACAATTTTGCACCAGGCGCCGCAAATCACACTTTTTTTACTCACCCTGTTTATATATATACAAATATATACTGAGGAATGCTTCAAGACATGAAACATCATGCATGTATATAGTAAGATTCTGAAGTTCATTCTTAAAATATATACATATATATATAAATAAATGAGCGAAGACCATTATTATATTCTTGATATTATGAAATATATAACTAATAATATAATAATAATAATAATACATATACAAAGGTAACGCCTCTAAATTTTCACATCATCTGACCACAGGATGTTTAAGATATATAAAATATTGGAACATATTCTAACAATGATTAACACTATAGATAAGAATATACAAATGTAGTTCTGCACAACAGTATACATCTTATCCTGAATCAGTGCATAAAGGATCTATCTACCTATCTATATCTATCTATCTACCTATCTATGTATCTATCTATCTATCTGCACAGATGCATGTTTTTTGGCGTATACCAAATATAGCTGTGAATATGGCTGGTAAAGGCATCCTTTTATTATGTAGTCATACACCACTTATACGCCTAGTACACTCCTCAGCAAAACATGACTCTTTTGTGGAGGGGCGGGGCCTGTACAGCAGGCGTGATAGGGGAGTTTATTAAAGAAAGGAGGGGGAGGGGCTGTACAGCAGGCGTGATGGGGGAGTTTATTAAAGAAAAGAGGGGGGGGGCTGGGCAGCAGGCGTGATGGGGGACTTTATGAACAAACAAACAGATTAATACTTTATATATAGAGATTCAACGTGAATGAATGCCCTGTTTGGCTAAATTAGGATGTTTATATAAAAAGAATAAAACATATTAAAGAAATTAAAGAGACTGTAAGCATTATTTCAAGTGAAGCTCAAAGCAAAGATGACAATATCAGATTCACAACGGTACTCTTGAAACATGTGTCTGATAAAAGTATTGAATTCTGATAACGTGTTTTCCTGCAGAAGAAATGCGCAATTCACGTTTGTGGATACCGTTGTGAATCGGGCATTGGAAACTTTGCATGGAGGTTCGCTTAAAATTACGCTTACAGTCCCTTTAAGCAGAAAATAAAATAATTTCTAAATGTGAGTTTCCTCCGACTTGTCGCGTGCATATAAACTGCGGAATTGAGCACTTTTGTAATTGCGTAGGACGGGTTATATATTCCAAATCTCCGGGTAGGGCTGGAACCACGGGATGGGACTTTCTCCTCTCTCTCCATGCAGCTCAGGATGAATTTCTAAATAATCTCAGGACTCAGACTTCCTACGTTTATACAATCCAGCATGAAAGATTTAAAACTTGTTATTCATAATTTGAACCGGGTTCAAGATTAGCACACAAGTAGAGTCATATAACATTATCATGCAATGAAGACCTAAATCTATTTAATTTTAATGATGAAATACAACCAAACTAAACAGGCATTCATGTCTTATGTAAAATAATGTGAAAGTCCACGAGACTAAAGCTGATAAAATACAAAGGTTTACCTAAACATTATGAGTCTCCAGAACCTAAACATTATGAGTCTCCAGAACCTAAACATTATGAGTCTCCAGAACCTAAACATTATGAGTCTCCAGAACCTAAACATTATGAGTCTCCAGAACCTAAACATTATGAGTCTCCAGAACCTAAACATTATGAGTCTCCAGAACCTAAACATTATGAGTCTCCAGAACCTAAACATTATGAGTCTCCAGAACCTAAACATTATGAGTCTCCAGAACCTAAACATTATGAGTCTCCAGAACCTAAACATTATGAGTCTCCAGAACCTAAACATTATGAGTCTCCAGAACCTAAACATTATGAGTCTCCAGAACCTAAACATCATGAGTCTCCAGTCCCTTTTACAGTCCCTTTTATACCAATAATAACCAATTAGATTGTTACATAAAATGATTTACCGTCATTACAGTCACGACCTCTTTGTTTGTAAACCTGTACATATGTACATTTAACCCTGTACCTATGCTGAGATNCCCCCCTTCACCATCTCTCTCACTCTCGCCTTATTGTCCATATCACTATCTAGTTGCTAATCAAGGGGCAACTTTCACTCCCTTCATATCCTTCATTTACGTCCTTTTGCTCATTACATACCTATACCCTGTCCTTAAAACCAATCTTTTTAACCTTTATCATTTAGTATTCAAGTTTCTTCTTTTTGATCTACAATATTTCCTTAAATTATATCATATATATCATGATATATATCATATATTATCATTGCGTTCGATCTACTAAACAAACAGATATGGCTTGACACAAGGTTATAATGCAAAGAAAGTTAATTGCAGTTGCGTAAACTCTGCGTACATATTGAAACCAGTTCTCTCTAAGCGGAATTTATAAACAAGAATAGATGCATCAGTGTTCGTTTAGTATCACTGTCCGAGGAAGATAAAAGCATTAAACTTTGATAATTTTGATAATTCACATTTTTGTTTCCTATGACCAGAATATTTTTATGATTTTCTATGTGAAAGATGGATCCCATGTCAGGCTTCGACATTCGTCTTGTGTTTACATTACCGCCCAGAGACAGTACACTGCAGTACAAAAGATCCGTACACCTCTGAAATAACTTTCCTTGTATAAAAATCTGTGAGCAATGCCTAATACCCCATTTTTGCTGTAAATGTTTCAGTTGGATTCTGATAAGTTAAAGAAAATGCTGTAAATACATTAATAGGATCACCCTTAAAGGATGAGTGTGTAAAGACGACCTTAACTCTTATAAAAGGAGGATCCCAAGGTTAAATTAGGTTTTCTGTCTTGAATATAGTCTTGTTACATATGATTTGGATAGAAAACAAGTTCACATTTTAACACTATCACAGTTTTTTTCTAAATAACTTAAAACGGCTTAAACTAGAACGCTAGAACTTCTTCACTTTTTAAACATCTTTAACAAATTTTGCCAAAATTTGATATTTAAAAAGCCTTTTAAAATTGGGCGCACTTTTTGTATAATCTTTCGTTGGCTTAATTTACTTAAAACTATATAAGGAATTGTTTAACAAATGTTAAGCATTACGCAATTATGGTTAAAGAGTGCTGTGCTATTGTTGAAGATATATAGGATCAAGGCTGTATAATAAGGTTAGTTACTCTCGATGCTTTCCAATGTACGGAAAATGTCGTCTCCTAAAATAGATAGAAACACAATATGACGTCACTGATTATACAGGCGAGAGGGACGTCATATTGGGTATTTATCTATCTATCTTAGGAAAAGACATTTTCTGTACATTGGAGCGCATCGAGAGTAACCAACCTTATTATACAACCTTCTATAGGATTGAACGATAGGGGGCTGTGAAGGGGGGGGGGGTAAACGTTAATGGGAGGGGGGACTAATGCTTAAACAATGGATGCATTTATCTTGACCATTATAATAAATATCCCCTCCCTGAGTTTACAATAGATAATAATACGGTTAGGTGAAACTTTTTATATACTGGTAAATAAATAAAGTAAAACAAAATATATCATTTTGGAGAAGAGATTTTCTTTTTTCATATCTATTATGTTCATAGTCCTTTTTAAAGATGGAATATAAACTTTGCGTTTGTATCCAATAAACGTCAAAACGGCTGAATCGATTGAACACACATTTTTTCTTGGACATCACATGATCCCAAGGAAGGTTTATGGATGGAAAACAATGTTGCCTAAAAAAAATTCTATTTTTCTTAATTCACGAAAAAAGCTATAAGCGAAATTTTGTTGTTTGATACTTAAAAAAGAGAAAATTGATAGAACAGCGCTTAAAAGTTATAACTAAAGATTGGTGCGAAGCGCCCTGGAAGCCTAGTGAGATAAAAAAAAATGGATCCTTAAACGTGCTGAAAAAATTGGGCTTCTGTTTTTTTTAGTGTTAATACTTCATATTTAATTGTATTCAACTATACTAAGTATCAAATAATAAAAATAAATGTACATAAATGTATTGAAGTCTGGACTCCAAGAACACAAAAAGATGTGACTTTAAACCACTTTAATTCCATCTTTCTTTAAAACCACAATGTCGGAGACCTTAGATATATATTTTAAACTGTGACACCTGTACTAGTTTAGATAATCAAAGTTTTAAATATCAAAGATTATAAGGATTAGGCAGTTTTAGTTTTAATTCCTTAAGATTGTTTTAAAAGATGCAACAAAAACTTGTTTCTTAAAACTGTTTTATCTAGGAAGGGAGAGTTTAAAAACTTGTTTCTTAAAACTGTTTTATCTAGGAAGGGAGAGTTTAAAAAACCTGAAAAGACTTAGAAAATGTTCATTAAAATCAGCCCAACATGGTGCTTGGTGTAATTATTACTCATGATTAATTAGTTCATTTTTTGCACAGCTACTAATGTTCCTATTCTGCAAGTCCAAGCGTGGTTTTAAATTATCTAATTTGATAATCATTTGCAGGTATCTACTTTCCTTAAAGGCATCATTAACAAGTTGAAAATGCAATCTCATTAGGTTTAAATGATTTATCAAATGGGGGTAAATGGTTGGTATTCATGCATAGTATATAGAATAACACTGTGATTAATAAAACTTATTTTAATTCACGTTTGAAAAAACTTCCCTAATAGCATTCAGAGACATTAACCCTATCACGGTTGGGAATTGTTTTCCGCCCCCCCCCCTTAGGGCTAAGACTTATATATTTGAAAAGCCCTTGAAAAATGGATTAATATTTGTTAAAAGTAAAAAAACTGTTTTTGAGATTTTTTCGACATACTTTTTAAACTTTTTATAAATCCTAATTTTTTTAATGATCAGGCCTATGCAAATTTGGACTAGGGACATGAATCAAAAATAGCCCAATCAGAATATGGCTAAGACAATATGTGCGTTCAATATCCCACCCAAGTCCCAAAGTGTGTTTCTAAAGAAGTGTAGCCAATGAACAACAAAATTTGTTATAAAAGACCAATGAAACAAACAAACAACTTATTATCATGTTATAATGGATCAGAGGAATTTTCAAACTTTAAAATTTGCTTTGATCATAATATATAATATAATGGAAGGTTTTTAGTTAACTTCTTTTTTTCAGAGATATAGAAAAGTGGTTCTTCTATTACGAAAAAATATGTACAAAGAAATTTAACCAGTCCACCCATAATTCAAGTTTCAAATCATATTTTACAAGCAAAATACTAAATTAAATTAAATACTAATTAAACCGGTCGAATTCAAGAATGTTTATGAGCCTCCCAGATTTACTATGCAGCAACGAGCCTCCGCTATAGCAATACAAATTTTATACAAAAACTATAAAGTCTTTTACGCGAACAGAAAGATATTATGAAAACAAATTCTAAAATGAGTTTTGTTTGATTTGTAAAGTTTTTTTTTTAATTCAGAAACTTCTTAAAAACTAAAATTTTGCATTACGAGATTTATCTAAACATAACAATTAAAAAAATGTATCGCTTAAATCAAAGACTTTAGCAAATCTAATCGAATTCACATTATAATTGTTTTCTTATTATCTTTCTTCCTTTTCGCGTCAATTTTTTTGAAGTTTTAGTATGAAATGGCGGAGGCTCAGTGCTGCATATGGTATCTGGGAGGCTCATGGCTGCCGGGGGTTCCCCCTCACGGTATGCTAAAATGCTAAACCCATGGTATGGGTGTCCTTTACAAAATGCGGATATAGGACAGTATGTATAACAACACGATTCAAACAACACGACTTAAACACGACTCATGTTCTACTCCAAATTTGGAATCTTACAAGAAACATTTGTCACGGGAAGAAGAAGACGCAAAGCGACTATTATACGGTCGTGAGGGGGTTATGTTAACGACAGGGGCTGAGTGGGGGGAATGCAGTAGGGGGGGGATAATGAAGGGGGGGCGTGATTCTTGCGTCCAATGTACAACGTTTGCCTCATGTACTATGTGTATTGTGTACCCCATATTCTATGAGTGTACTCCGTGTACCAAGTGTACCCAATGCAACGAGAGCACATTGAGTATCTTTGATGTTCCAAGTGTAGTTCCAAGTGAATACCATGTACTAAGGGTACCGTGAGTCCAAGTGTGCCGGCCCATGTACCAATTGTACCGTGAGGGCCAAGTGCACCCCATTGTACCGAGTTAACAGTGTACATCATCCAAAACACAGAGGAACAGAGACAGTGATCCAGGGTGTCCCACGAAACATGACAGTTTATGAATAATTTAAAATGTCTTCTTACATAATTTGTAAAAGTGGCTTGATACCAAAATGCAAAGTAAACAATATTGTATGACAGTCAAATCATAGTAAAATTGATATCAAATTAAAATATATTTAAGTAAAATATTTTTTAACGAGATATGCTGAAAAATGTCTTCAACATATAATACAGTATATGGAAGAAGACATTCAAAACTATTCAACAACTGTCATGTTTCATGGGACACACTGTACTTGGAGTATAAACAAGGGTACCGACCCCCCTTTCTCAAAGATTTCAATATTTTTTCTTAAAAACATTTTAAGTTTAAAATCTAACGTTCTATATGTTGTGCACACATATTGTAAGATTATTTTTTTAACAAATTTGGATCTGATTAACCGTTTGTTTTCGAAAAATAGGCATCTCTATTAAAGGTTCTAATTAAATTCCAGCTTCTTATAGTTATGACCAATCCATGGTTATGACATATAAATTCTAGTTTAAGTTCATCTATTTTAATTCAACTATCGACGGATTGAGCTTGAAAAAATTTAATGACAAAAAACTTTCATCTTTGTTTGGAGAACCAAGAAGGGTACCGACCCCCCTATATCAATAGTAGGTTGGGCAGATGACAATGCTAGAATTTACTTCAGAATTTAGATTCAAACAACGCGACAACTTTCTCTTTGGGGCAGTCGACACTGGA